AATCGTCCGCGGTATAGTATCAGAGCCTTCTTTCACGTCAAAAAGGGTTTTTTTCTGTAGTTACTACGTAACTTGAGCCTTAAAGTTTAGCTGACAGAGAAGAAAATTTTGTCTTTACGTGGGTTAGATATGCAGGGAGTTTTTTTCGCAGGTGTGAAAATAAACTTCTACATCATTAATTTTTTGAAAATAAAACATGTCCAATATCTGGGTATTGAAATGTAGAAATTAACCAATTATGATAGAGGTAATAAAGGTGATATTGGTACTCACTCTTTGGTATCTAAGTCGCTCGAAGACGCGGAAGAATGAAATTGCTTTTATCGAAAATCACGAATAAATATAGTCGTAGCTAAATTACTTATAAATGAGGTAAGAATACTTGGTTTCCTTTTGTTGGTCTCTCTGGGTACTTAGCTTTTTGGCAGTTTGTTTAAAAATTGTCACAAGCTATAATTGTTTCTTGTAAAAAAGAAGTAGCCTTCTTGACACTTTTAATTAAGATAACGTAGTTTACAGGATTCTTTGTGGATGCCGTAAAGTTTTACACGGATAAGACTGGAAAATCCTTGCAGAACAGAATCAAGGAGTGTGTCTGAGACATTTGACTTGCGGTACACCAACCTTCGGCGATTCAAAGCACACTCTTTACATTTGACACCACCTGCTGGGAAATTACTTAAAGGTTATGAAGTTCAACGTGTTTCTCACAATTTTTCGGAAAAAAAAGAAAAGAAAAAATGAAAACAAAGGGAAAGGTGACATTTCGAAAGCTAAACTTTAAACTTTTCTAATCAGGCTTTGAGTTTAATCAACCTTTAGCAACTGAGTTTCGTGCCTAAAAAAATTATGATAAAAAAATTAAAAAAAAAAAAAAAACGCTCACCGGCCACAAAGTTAACAAATCGTCGATGGTTGAACGTGGTCTGTACCCTCATAGACAACGATATTCATCATCACAGTGGTCAGAGAGTCCGCAAAACGTGGTAAATCATCTCCGTTACATGATCATTTGAATGGTTCTCAGACCGCAAGTTCTTAGTTTCATGTCGTTGACAGGCTGAAATCCATATATAAAAATTATTTTTGTCAAAGAATATGTCCGATTTGGACTCCACTCATTCCTACCGCCATTACTTATCTAAGCTAGTTTAGTCATCTTTTAATCGACGGAAATCAAAGAGAAAAAATTAAAAAAAACATCAACTTGCGCGCGAGTGTTAAGAAATGCCATAGTTTGGCTTGGCTTGTTTTGTTTGAGCTTGGCTTTTTTCTGATCCAGCGTGGGCGAGAAGAATCCCAACTCATCGCGAACGCCGAGGAGATTTCGAGGACGGAAAAAATCATTGCGATACTCAAACGTTTTCAACTGGAAATATGCACCACCCCTTATTCAACACATTTCCAAGGCCAAGAAAAGGAAGTGGGGTGCTGCTTTATTTAACAAATAGAGAAGCCTTGACTATTCTATGTTCTGTTGTAAAACACACAGGAAGCGGCCAGAGAACTGAATTCCCCACGCATTACCTTCCATTTTCAAACCAAACTTTACTGCTAAAGCGAACATCAGTGTCGTCCGCATGCTCTAGAGATCTTTTCTCTCTTAAAGTACGCTACAATGAAGCCAATCCGTATTAGAATGGTTGAAATAATCTGCAGTAGTTTACAGACTGAAATAGTTCAGCAGATCGAATTTAACACTTTTTCCAGAAGTTTTTTCTTTTAGTCTCTAATACAGAATCTGGAAGTGAAATGTTCGGTGAAATCCGGCTGAATCGAAGCTCATAAAAACGTATCACGGAAGTTTATTCACATGATAATTAGAAAACAAACTGGTTAAGGCTTGTGTTTTATGAATGAACGACTGCCGAATTCACAGGAACATAAAGATTGCTCGGGATGACAGCGCCGTAAAACTCGGCTGCTGTGACTTATGTGGCCTTACGTTCAACGCATCGGAGAGGATATCAGAGCAAGCTCTAAATATTTTTTCATTCGAAGGGCGGCCGATGAAATTTCTGAGGCTTGTTTCACTGCGCTGTGATTGATTTTCATTACTGCAAGTAAGCTTGTAATCTAACTGAAGGTAAAAACCTTCATGACACGGACTGTCCATTTCGTTTTCTTTTTTAAGGATTTTCGTTTTTGCTTACGTTATAATAACGTAAAGTACTGCGCTTGGCATGTTTACAAACCTTTGTTTGGTTCTTCTGTTGCTACTTTCTGGCTCGCTTTTCCGAAATTTCACTTTCAATCAACGAAAAAGGCTAGAGAAAAGTCCGGGAAGTGGTCGGACATAGTACAAGTTGGCATATAGCGTGACAGCCTTATCTCAGCCCAACGTTAGCAAATAGCAAATCAGTGACAGCGCACGTTACATCCGAACTTTATAATGAACCTTCTCAGAGGGTCTCAATGGGGTTAACCGTTAACTGTTAGGTGCAAAAATCGACACCTTTTAATCGATAGTCGTAAAAAAAGTTAACCGTAAAAAGGAAAAAATCTGGTGACTACAATGGAATTATATTAACCGTTAGCCGGCCGTGACATGGCCAAAATTTCAACCTTTAGCCGTGAAAGCCATCATCCCAATAAGACCCTCCTCTTATATGAGGGCCATCAATAGTTTAACACGAAGTGGCTTTCAAACAGTCATTTTACAGACTTACTCTTCTATAATTAGTTTGAAATGGTCGAGTTGCCAAGCTTGCGCGCTGTTTTTTCAGTCCACCCACCCCACCCCTCCCCTCCTGTCTCCAAATTGAATTTTTATTCCGCCATCCTTACTTGGCAAACAATTTTCGTGGGCTGAGTTTATACCTGTCGGTGTATTAATAAGCGTAATAAAGTACCCAAAAAAAAAAATACGCGCTTGTGATTGGCTGAAAACGAGTATATTCGCCTGAAACACAAGTACAAAGTTGTAACACGAGTGCAAATAGCGCGCACGCTTTCAAAATTTCGTCTATCTTGAATTTCTGTGATGTTTTTTTCATTTACATTATTGACAAATAGTGGCATGATTTCTCTTGTAATTTGGTTTAATAAGCACCTATAAATTTTTCAAAGACTACATCGAATTGCACTTGCCCTATTAGCTTGTGCAATTTTGTTATCTTTGAAAATTTAACTCGTACATATTAACAACAAATTGCACTCGAAATCATGTTATTACCTATACAAAGTTTCATAACATCAGGGGTTTTTTGTCACAACGGTTACAGGCGGTCTGCCTCCGCCTGAAAGACCTCCGATCACCCTCTGTGTACCTAGCGGGCAGGCTCTTGTGTTGGGCTCTGGCCTTGCGGCGAAGCCGCCTATAATCCGTCAGCAGCCGCTTATAAAAAAAATTATGGAGTCCCGAAACTGCGTCAGCGTAGAACATTATCATGTGTGGAATAGCCAGGAATAGCCAATCGCGCCATCAGGGATATTGATATTAAAGCTAAGTATCAACGTGATGAAGAAAAAAAAACGACAATTAAAGATAGATACTGAAAAAGTTCTTCACATTTCGTTTTCGATTTAGTATTTTTTTTGTTTGTTTGTTTGTGTTTTCCTAATGCTTCCTACATGTGTAATATCTTTGCCAACCGATTTGGTGTCTGAATCATAAAATTTTCATACGCAATAGTCAATACCTTTGTTGGTAAGATTATCGTTAAAAAGCTATTAAAACACTTACTATCTAAAAAACAAATAGAAAATTAATTTCCAGAGTTTTTTTTTATGCAGATCTTAATTAAGATCCTAAAATGCAATAATTCAAATGCGCAGTATTGTGCAATCATTCTGGAAAAGGATGTTTTGTTTGTATTTTTCATGGACAAAAAAAAACAGATTTTAATGGAATTTTAACATCGACCAGTGAAGATGTTTTATCAAAGCGAATAGTTGAGCACGTAGAGTTAGTTTGATCTTTCTTCGGAAGTCGAATATTATTAAATGTTTTGCGATAAATTTTGTTTCATTTGACGCAGTAAATTCTAAGAGATATTTTTTAAGATGTGAGCGAGATTAAAAGCAGATGATTAATGAGCGGAAATTACGAGAAGGTTTATGTTCTAGAAGATGTGGTGTAAGAGACGGTTCGTGACACGTTTATGAGCGATCAGGTTTATTTTTTTTAGTTTTAGTGCCTTAAAGAGAAAAACATCTCCATTTGCTTTTAAATGATCCAATTAATCAAGAAGGGCATTATCTCAGCTTCCGGAGTTAATTGATGAGTCCTCGGTCGATTGGCAAAGGTGCCGTCGTCCGCGGTTTTCTAATTTGTGCCAAATACACTTTATCAATTGTTAAAACATGGACTAGATTATGGCAAAATCGCTGCACGCTTGGTTTTCATTCCTCACGAGACAAAACAATAAAACAAAATGCAGAACCCCCGTAGGTTTAAGTTGTCCACAGGCAACACCAGTAGCGAGAAAAACAACTCACCTGTTTATACTTTTATAATCACAAACGTTTTTGTTGCAGGAGCCGCTTATAGTTCTTGTGAAAAGCTGGTTATTATGGCTGACGGGAGCGAAACAGAAACAGCACTACCGAAAATAGAGCCAAAAGTTGTCGTTCTTGACCGTTTTAATATCTGTCAGTTGTCGACGGTTTAAAATGTACATATTTTGCCTTTAAACTAAATATATAAAGCATAGAATATAATGTACAATGGCTAATGCCTCATTTTGTACTCTCCGCCGAGTTTTGTCTCTTGCTGAACGCGTTGGGTTCTAACTACAAACCACAAAATGAAAATCTTCTTTAGCTAGACCACAAGGAATAAAGATAAGACCCACATTTTCAATACTTCAAAATTTATAGCAAAGTACGCCAAAAATTTGCATTTTGTTATCTTGTGTTTACATAGGTGACAGAAATGATGACAGGGTCTTGTTTGGCACTGACGCATTTTTGAAATGATTTGTCAATATCGCGTTTTCCGCGCCTCTTCATTATTACACTATCTGCATGTTTCAATAACACAGAAGGGAGCCTATTGCTAAGCGCTGTGAACTGCACTTATAAAAGTTTCAGTGCGCATGGAGAGAGCTGAATTGTATGGGCAGTCAAACAGCGCAGGTAACATTACCCTGATGTGCTAACCCACGCCGTTCTTCGTTTGCAGTTCTCTCCGTGAATATCACCTGCTATCGACAACAGGCAGCTGCCCATCACGATCTGGGCAAAAAAAAATAATAATATCCTTCATCGGTTGCGGAATTGTCTACGTACAGCAATATCTCTTACAGCGCTGTGGCAAAAGTTCAAAGGGGGAAAAACCACACATGCAAAGCCGTGTTCACCGTTTTAACGATTACTTTTTTAATACGGACAAGCGCGCAACAGAGACTCCCAGCTTAGCATCACTGCATCTTTCTTTGAAACTATGGATACAGACACAGACAAGATTATTATAAACGTTGGTGGAAAACGCCATGAGACGTACGCCAGCACACTTCAAACCATTCCCGACACGAGGCTTTCATGGTTAGCAGGCAGTTACCTTAACAGTGATACTAAACAAGAATTTTTCTTCGACCGAAATCCAAAAATCTTTGGTATCATTTTGAACTATTACCGCACAGGCCATCTCCATGCGCCGAGGGATTTCTGCGGTCCGCTGTTTCAAGAGGAGCTGGCGTTCTGGGGAATCGAGGAGAGGGAGATGGAAGCGTGTTGTTGGCCATATTACACGCAACACCGAGACGCTGAGAAAAATTTGAAGGATTTTGTAGGACCTGAGTTTGAGGATTCTGATGAGAACGACGACGACGAATTTTCACCGGAATTCGATTCAACATACGGTCAGGCCACTTCTTTGTCATGGTGGACAATATACAGACCTAAAGTTTGGGCCGTGTTGGATGATGCTCATTCGTCTACCAAGGCTAAGGTATTAAACATATTTGAGAAATATGTTATCACTTTTTTTTGTATAGATGCGTACATCCGGTTTAAACTCTGTAGATCACGATTTACAGATGAGTTCTTTTATGTGACTTGATCTGTTGCTTTTCTGATGAAATGATTTATTTCGTTATAAGACTCAAGATTGAAAGATCTTCCTTTACTGTCGTTTTTCTAATTGAAATATATCCAACGAAACCTGATCGGGGAATGAAATGAAAGTTTTCAAAATAAATTATCGCAGCGCTCGCTAAACAGTGCACGAGGAATTATTTACTTGGTAGGTTTTGCCTCCTGAGTAAACAGCGGCTTATCCTTGCTTAAACGCTCGCGCTTATACAAATGCATGAATGGAGACAGCAAATCATAGACAACATCAGAGATATTAACGCAAAATATAGTATTCAGTGGCTTACATTGAGTGAAAGCAAACTGCTGAGTTGAAGTTGAAAAACGAATTAAAAATCACAACATTAACAAATGCTAACATCGACGAATGAACTTCGCATAAATCTCATTTTTTTATTTACATTTGGACGGGTTTGCCTAGGGTAACAACCATATTTTCTCATTTTCAAAGTTGGTTTTGTATCCTTTCAGTCAGAGCTTTAGACTTTAAGTCTAGTTGATTCAAAATGAAAACATACCCTTCTGATGTTACAATTACAATAATATTAGTGCGATGTTTTGCAAGAATATGGCTTTTAAATGCGCTTGCTTTGATGTCGACTTTATAGTTTTGCCCCCGGGTCTACAAAGCAGCAGGAACATAAGATTAATCTTGCATTCCTATTTTAAATTTCTAAAGCTTAAAAACTTCTCAGGAAAAAAATAATCTGGCCGCGAAACGTTAAAATGGTCTAGAGTTTATGTACTTTTTGGGGGTATTTATGACCGAAATGAAATGCGAGACTTAAACAAGATCACTATGTCTTGCCGAATGAAAGAACCTTCTCGGTTTTTGACAGCTGGGCCATTTCCGATCGAGAATTTTGCATTTGTTTGCCGTCAGCTATCAAAAATAGCATTGTTTTCATCTATGGCAACGCAAAAGCTTATGCATAAACAGACCCAATCAATGGAAGAGCATCACAAACTTCAGTAAGAAATCAGTAAATTTACGGTGATTTTGATTCCACGGCCGTTCTGCTTAATGCCACCATTTTGAACACCTCACTCGCTTAAAATATTATGGCTTTTTTTAAATCCGTCTGATACCTTGGTTGTTAAATTAGTTTCTTTTGAATATTTATGGACCGCTTAAGTTAACACAGACTAATTCCAAGGAATCCCTTTGAATTTAGAAGCAACCAGAGCTCATTTGTTTCAGTTTGATTCTATTAAAACCCAATGGAAGACAAGGACGCTTCAAAATATTAGGGAGGCAATATCATTGCCTAGGCATTACTAGCAAAATGTATCAAAATAAACTTTATATTACTTTCACGCTTTTTTTGAAATGGTGACATATTTAAAAAACAAGCTTATTTTATGCCAGGTGAAGGAAAATCCCTGTCAACATTCAAATCGTCGGCAGTGTTTGTATCTCATTCAGGATTTGTTCTCTCCGAAGTTCATGTTAGTTACTCTTACTGGTGATAAAAATTTCTTTCTGCTAATTTGTCCATTTTCTGAAAATTGCATATTGGCGCTTACAATCGCAATTTATGCAGATGCCATGTTTTTCTGATATCTCGCACAAACACATCAACGGATTATTTCTAATCTAGCTTTTTCTTTTATTGCTAATCATTGTATAAAGGTTTTAACACGACGTCTCGCAAGATGAGATCCAGATTTATCTCTGGCCCAGTCACAGCAAAGTTCGTCCTATGAAAGCAGCTTTTGTAATCACGATTGTCGCGTCTGTAGAATTGTTCTCTTTCAAACCAGAAATTTAATTTCAAACCAGAAATTCAATTTAAATTGGCTTTGGAATATATGTCAAACAAAGTAACCACGGTCCAAACGAAGATTACTTTGGAGTCAGATTGTCCGCCGTCTAAAGAAAATCCGCAGTATGAGAGTTTGTCGTTGGCAGACATTGCTCTTTTAGATCAGTGCGCGAAAAGCTCATTTAGATCAGTGTGCGAAAAAGCATTCGTCTCATTCCCGCTTTGACAAAGTGCTCGCCTGGCACAAGTTTAAATCAATGCTAAAATAATCACAAAAAGGCGCCAATTATTGAAAGTATCTTACATACATGTATCAGTCCACAGCGTGGGAAAATGCCGACGACCTTTTCGGGTGCCGCGAGTTTTCACAAGCAAGTCGACTACGAGTTAAAATAACGCCCACGTAATCCGTTCACTTAAAAACTGCTGTTGCAAAAAGGCTTCCTACTTAAGCTTCGTGAAAACTTTAGTGATAATACCCAAATGCTCGATATATCCAGTGAAGGGAGGGGAGGGGAGGGGGGGGGGAGGAAGAGGGGTCTCTGCGATGAACTGGCATGAAATGGTAGTGGCATTATACCAAGTCTTTTAACCCTTAAACTCTTAAGATCTGATTGTTTATGTTATATTCTCCCCTCTAGCTGCTACACATTTGAAAATTAGGCACGAGAATACAGCGTTAGATCGTGATAAAAACTTCTACCCGATTGGTATGAGTATTCTCAACATACATCTGCTGGATAATGTATGGGTATCATAGAGAGCAGTTATATGTTAATCACTACTGGGATTTCTAAGGTAATGCTGGAGGACAGGCGGCGCCTCGTTACGCCGAGGTAGAAACTAAGATTAGGTTGGCAGTATTAGCTATCTAAAAGCTTTTATTCACTTTTCAGGTCTTCGCTTTAACCTCTTTTTTTATGATTCTGGCGTCTGTGGTATCCATGTGCGTCTCGTCTGTGGTACAGGATGAAAATAATGTCTACATTAGAGGCTTTGAGTACGCCTTTTGTGCCTGGTTCACTTTGGAATTTGGCGCAAGGTTGTTATTTTGCCCAGACAAGTTGGCTTTCTTTAAAGAAATTATGACGTGGGTCGATCTTATATCGTTGTTACCTTTTTATGAAGACATAATTTTTGGTACCAGTATGTTAAAATTTCTACGAGCCGTGAGACTTATACGTACATTTCGCGCACTGAAAGTGTTCGCCTTCACAAGCGGTTTACAGATTATAGTGCAATCACTCAAAGCGAGTTTCAGAGAATTGATCCTACTGCTGATAATTCTCCTCATTCCAGTTGTCGTGTTTTCAAGCGTGTTGTTCGAAATCGAATCCCATCAACCCAAACAGAAGGACTTTAAGAACATCCCACAGGCATTTTGGTGGGCTATCATTACCATGACAACAGTAGGCTACGGCGATATGGTACCGATCACGATCCCTGGGCGAATCATTGGAGGAATCTGTGCCATACTTGGCGTGCTTATTGTGGCGTTGCCTGTTTCGGTTATTGGCAATAACTTTTCCACTTATTACTCTCACGCGCAAGCAAGGCTGAGTCTTCCAAAGAAAAAGCGTCGCTTGATCATGTGTGAAGCCAAACTGCGGGCTAATCCTAGACAAGGGCAATCACCTTCCAGTTCAACATCACTACGTGCAAATGGTGTTCACGAGGTCCCAGAGGTCGTGACTGAGACACCATCCAGGACAGGCTCTGCCACAAAATACAGACGCTACCACCGCCGTTCTAGAAATACTCTATTTGCGCATGGTGATGTCTACATAGGGCCAACGAGGTTTGATAGGCATAAGCTTCATCACGCTGAAACATGCAATGAGGAGGAAAATGAGAATGAAAGCGAGAGTGAAACAGGGAAAAGTGAATGTCCCACCGCAAGGGAAACAACAAGCAGCGGAGACTTAGACAATGTGGTAGAAAAAGGAGGAACCTTGCCACCTCAGGCTAGTGAGGAACTTCCCCGTATTTCGGCGCTCCCTAGAAATTTCACACTCATTAACTCGATGCATGAGAGCGAAGAAATTATCGAAGAGGATTCGAGGCCTTCTTCCGTTCTTTCTGAACGTCGCGGGACAAAAAAGAAAAAGCTGCACCCTGGTGTCCAATCATCTCGCCGTAAAAAATCCAATAGCTCTCTCTCAAGGTCATGGATAGAACTAAAAGCTCAACAAGCGCAATCACCACAAGAGAACGGGCATCCTCAGAGTTCCCGCGGGAACAAAGCTCGCGTGTCCTCGGTGGATGCACGGGGATCACCGCAGGAGAAGGGGCGTCCTCAGAGTTCCCGCGGAAACAAAGCTCGCGTGTCCCCGGTGGATGCACGGGGGAGTTACAAAAACCCGTGTATGGAAAAGGAGAGTCCCTCGAATTTATCCTCATCCCGGATTTACTCCGTACCCTCGTTTAAGGTGGACAGTGAGACTACCCGACTGGATAAAGGAGATATGCCTGGCGAAGAGATCAACTCAAACTCGGCGATTGTAAATGATAGCAATCACAGAACTGGTAAATCATCGGAGCACGATTTTGCAAACGGTTTTATAGCTTAATAGTAGAGAAAACTAAGGAAAGTAATAAATAGAATAGAAAGACGACTGAAATTCGTCCACAATGGTATGTGGATGAGAATATTTGCATTATCGACGCATATTTAGCGGGCACAATGAAGTTAGCTTATGAAGCTAAGGCTGGATATTCAGGGTGTGGCTAGGGAAGGGGGGGTCCTCGAGGGCCGCTGTCCCCCGCTGCCTTGGATGACTTACTATGAAGTTAGTAACTTAAAGGGAGACGAGAAAGCGTAAATCATGAATTTGCACGTTATGCATCATTCAGTGCTCATCCGACAAATGTCGCTCTTAATGAAACACAGCATGGCTGTCGACATAACAGTCAGACAGTTATGCTGGGAGAGACCTTGCATCACTCCTATCCCCTCAGCTCTTTGAAAATCCTGGTCACCACCCTGAGTATTAATTAAAACCTACCTCTAATGACTTAGCTCTTGCCCTTGTTAGGCGTGTACGTCGTCGTAACGTTGCTTCCTATTTCATTTAAGCGCTAGCCACACTTCCTATCGCGATGCAACTTCAATTTAGTATCTAAAGATAACGAAACAGATGCAGTCTTGAGTTTTTTCGTCTAGCCAAAGACTAGCAAAGGCTATGTTCAACAGTGAAGAAGTTTTTCACTGCTGTCCTATATGGAAAACGCGGGCTCGTTTTCCCCGACTTATTATATTCTCAAAATGAAGACGACTGTGGTTTAATCCTGGATGAAAATGATACGATAGAAAGATGAAACATAAAGAAGATTAGATTTGTATTCATATCATATTCTTGAGGCTACGTTCCTCATGATCGCAATTACCTTACTGAGCAGATGTCATCTAAATAAACTTATTGGAATTTATGCTAGTGGTTTGGACTTTTGAAGATCTGTCGATATGGTGAGGAAATTGTAAAGTGATGTGATGATATTTACCAAATGGTACTTCTCGGTAATCTTTTATTCCAGTGACAGTAGACACAGAAGTAAAAAATTGTACCTATTCTCTAATACTCCAGCGCCTTGTTCCCAGTCTTTCTCCCTCGCAACAGTCGCAGAGGTCACAACATTTCCCAAACTTGAGAGGGAAATGCGACAATTTTGAGTCCAACTTGTTTGAATACACTTTACCTAAGAATCAAGGCGTCGTTATCTACAACCTAAAGGTATGATTGGTGAAGGTTTGGAGTTTTAGAGTAAAAAAAAGAGTCGAATATGACAGTATTCACATGGAATCTGAAAAGCAAGCAAACATTAGGGTAACACTTAGCAGGTTCTTTTGTGTTTATTAAGCCTTGTAGTGATCCTGTTCAAGCTGAACCCTTCACTTTAAAGCCTTTCACTTTCAACGTCTCCATTTTTTCTCCTTACTGTCCACCATGGACACCTGACTGTGAGAGTTTTGTGTTAAATCGAGTAATATTCCCCTAACTGACTTATTTGGTTCTTAAAATTCTCACAAACTCTTTTCTTGACAATTTAGTCAATATTATGGTGTGGAGAAATTACCCATTGATCACTGCTGAAAGTATAAAATTTGGTATTTAATGAAGTCCTGTTTGAGCTCCAATTGGTATTCTTTTGTATGATAATCTTGTACCTAGCTAGTTTTCCTGCTTTCCCTGACTATAAATGCAAAACCTAAGTACTATAATGGTGTTTGACTGTTAATTACCTCAGAGTCCTTCTGACCACTCAGTCGTAATGCATAAAGCATAACTTTCTCTGAGTCCCTGCACTTTAGTAAACTAATGTGTTTTCTAGCTTTGGGTTGCTCCCTTTCCAATCTGGTGGTAAATTTTCCCCAATCCTAACCCAACCTCATCTAATACCAGTTAACTGCAGAGTTAAGTGTGGAAAATTCATGTCATCAAGCAAACCCCAGAGTACCACACTAAAACTTCAGCATTCTGTAGCATGAATTATTGTTTATGCATCTTCAAAATACTGTTATGTAAGTTTTTCTGCCCTCTTGTAGTTCCATGAATTCTGTAGGCTTAAAGCAAGAATTTTCATACAGAAAGTCAAGAATTCATTCACAAAAATCCACAAAAGAAAAATTAAAGGTTTTTAAAACAGAAGACTGCAGATCTCTACATTATGCACATTCCAAGATAGCTCAGATGTCACAGCATAGGCTTCATTTCTTAAATGGAACATTTCCCTTACAGAAAAAAAGCCTTAAGAAGGAACAGTAAGCTTTCTCTTAACCCTATACCCCTAAAAGTGATCAGCTTCTAGTTTCTCCTTACAATATCACCCCTGAATCAAACATTAAGGTCATGAGAATCAAGGAAATGATCACCAACTTATAAAGCTCTTGATCTGGAAATATATTCTCCTTGTCAGCTCTTCAGGAAATGTATAGAGAACAGTATGGAGAATATGGATACTGATGTTAAGGTTTAAAAGGTTGAAACAGAAGACTGATCTCTACATTATGCACATTCTAAGATAAATTGTCTGGGCTCAGGCTTCATTTCCTAAATGGAATGTTTCCCTTAAACATCTACCAGAAAAAGTTCAGAGTGGTCTCTGATAATTTATTAGTTTCTTCCTTCAAATTCCCTTATATTTCCTTGTGAACTAAAGGGAGAATTTAAAACAGGATATTATAAGACTGCAGGCATTCAGGGCTTGGTTATGTCAACCCCTCTATCATATTAATCCAAGCATTATGACTCATTGCAAACTCAAGAATATGGTTTATACATCATATTGGGGAAAAGAACTAAGTGTGGACTCAGACCTACTGATGCACTATATTTAACCCTTTAACTCCCAGAAGCGACCAACACCTAATTTCTCCCTGCAAAATCCATACATTATTCAGCAAACAGGTAATGAGAATACTCAAAAATATCAAATAGAAGTTGTTGTCTTGATCTAACACCAAATTCTTGTAACTAAGTTAGAAGGAAATATGTAATAGCTGGAGGTGAGAATTGACCATCAGATCTGGGAGTTAAAGGGTTAAGACTCCCTTTTCTAAAGTCTAATGTAAGGTTAAGCCGATATATTTGTAGGGTCATTATGTTGCTGGGCAGAGCACTTGACCTTTTTAAACCATAAGATTGATCAGCCAAGCAATTTCTCCTTACAGTTAGATATACTGCTGAATCATTCATGAAGATTAAGAGAATAAAGGAAATGATCACTTAAAGAAAAAGCTCTTGATTGTTTAACAAATTCTCCCTGTGAGAACCTTAGGAAATGTACAGAAAACAGTATTGAGAGTATACATAATGATGTTAGGGTGTAAAGGCATGGTTAATTCAGGTGGTTTTCCTGTGGTGTGTCCACACTGTGGTGGGAACGGATTGCTGTGTTGAAATTGTAATATTTATATCTTAGTGCTTTGTTCACTGGAATGTGGTGTTCAATCCATCAAATTGAATATCCCATAGTTGACATTTTTCTTCATTCTTATCACCCCTCTGCTTGGCACTGTATTGATATTGTAAGGAGAATTCACATACTGGTCACTCACTGGAGTGAAAAAGTTGTGTGAAAGATTAGCAGGGGGCAGATCCAGGAATTTTTGATGGGTGGGACCAAACTTTGCTTAAAAAGAAACCTTTTTTTTGTCTTTTACACCAGTGTCATTACACAATTAGAAATATTCCAAGTTACATAAATTTTGAATACTTCAAGTCGAGCTGTCATATGATCATTTGATCTTGTTTTTTTTTTAGGTGAATTTTGGTTTGAGGCATTTCATACCCACAGGTCTGTTTTGTAAGATTTTGGAGCAACTGTACCCTGCATCTGGATGCTGCCACTGGAGATTATGACACTAAAGGAGTCCAGGTGACAGTCAGGGTATAATTAGTGCCTATAAGTTCTAAGAACATTTTAAAGAAATATGAAAGCGATCTTTCCAGAAATGAACACTTCTTTAGCAGTAGGCCTCATGTTCACTACTGCTTAAGTAGTTCTCATTGTTGCAAATAGTACTTTCATGTTCAATTCTTAAAGTGCAGTTCATGTAACTTTGTGATTTACATATAATCACAGTCATTGTTACGTCACTTCACTGGCTCGTTAGTTTAATTGTTAGAGCACCGCATTGTTATCACAGAGATCATGGGTTCATGACCTCGTGGGTTCATGGGTTCAAATCCCACACAGGCCTTATTTTCACTACTGCTTAAGGAGTGTTCATAATAATTGTGAAGATCACTGTCATATTAATTTCTTAAACCACAGTTCGCATAAATGATTTTCATATATTCACAGTCAATAATATTTTATTATGCCATAGACTAAAAATACTAATAAACAATAATTTATTTAAACTTACTCTTTTTTTGGTGGTGAGTTTTCAAACAACATACAAACACAATATATTCCACCCATTTAGCTCTTTCTGTAAGAAGCTTTAGTGAAAACTGACAACAAATAGTTCAATTTTGCCTTGAAGGCATGTTTAAATTTTCAACAGTGACCTGTCTTTAATAAATGATTATTTTATACATAATTTTTTATAAACAATAGGGTCACCTTTAAAAATGTCTTTCAGTCCTGAAATGATACTTCTTTGGAATTAATTATATTCTTGGTGCTAAAATGGTTCATTATGATTTTAAAATTTATACAATTTTGGTTTGATTTTAACCGAGTGGGAGTTTATAACGAATACTCGATTTAGGTTACCAAAATAATTCCCATTGTAGACAGAAGCCCCCTATTCAAGAACTTCAATGGACAGTTCGTCTGCAGCAAGAAAACCCAAATAGTATTTGTATGAAAGTGTGAGTAGCTCCACAAAATGTTCCCTCAAGTTAGGTTTTTGATAGTTCGGCAAAGATTTTGAAAAATTTCAATTGTGTTATTTGCATTTTGGTAGTTGCAACATACAGACAGACCCTAGGCCGCCAAACACCTTATTCGTTTTTTCTATCTCTGAAATCACTTTTTTGAATTTTTTCCATACACGCACACACTCACACACTACTGGTTAGAGCGGTATGACCATAATGGAACAAGTTCTAACCTTCAGAGTATTGAATTTTTGGATTGGATCAATGTCAGTATTACTGCACACCTACCCCTGGCCTAACCAAATAATATTCAACTGATAACAAGTGAACGCATGGACAAAAATTCACGAAAACGTCACCGTGACCGTTCGGTAAGGTCGGGCTGCGCTAAGAACCAATCAAGTTCCTGAACTCGTTACTGTGCTTCGTGGGAAAAAAGTGAATAACGTTATGATCTGAGGGAACTGTGGAAGCTATGCTTTCACGGTTTTTCCTCAAGCCTGGGGAGTAAGGATGTAGTGATAGTAACACGAGAGCCCCGTTTTCTGCTCTGCGTAGCCCACATCCCCTCTTGCACATCGTATTAAAATGTGCTCTTACTGTGGTCAGACGCGAGTCATATTCTGAATGCTATCTCGTTTATTTCCTCTTATGTTCGGCCTCAGGATGTCTTTTCTACCGTCTCTACTCTCAGATTCCACTGCATTTTTAACCTGAGATGGCGCAGAATGCGGCAAATTTTTCAATTCTTGCTGAGGATCTTTATCGTTGCTCTGAGAATGTCTTACATTGCTGGTGTATTTCCTGGCTTTAGAGTCCCCGACAAATTCATGTGGTGGGGTTTTTTGAATTCTCTCCTCGGATCTGACAAGTGGTGAGATGGGCAATGCAGATATTCCACGATTTCCACCTATGGCATTCCTCCTCTTACATGGCGGAGTGTCGCTGGAAACCAGTTCAGTTTTAGACCTCTGCCGAGGTTCCACAAGCTGTTTGTTGTGATGTGATCTGTCACTGCTCAAACTTTCGGTGGATTTCCAAGGTGGGGCTGGGTCTATTTTAGTAATGTTCCTGTCCTGTTCCCCTTTTTCCTCAACGAAGTCTTCACTTGAGTCAAACGTCACTCCTGCTATCCTCGCATGATTGCTAGAGTCACTCCGCGCGCGCATGTCATCTTCCGTTTTACTGTCCGAAAGAAAAGCCACTTTGGCAGTGGCATTCTTGTGCTCCGAGGTGTTTGACTCGTTTGAAGATCCTAGTGCTACGCTGTTCCTGTCCTGCTCGGTATGTTCCGGCTTAGATTGCAGGTGGCTTTCACTTTCCCCAGGGCTATCCCCGTCCGTAGTGGTGTAATAACTATCGCGATCCTTCTCGTTGGATGATGCATCTCCGTTGCCACGATTGGCCAATCGCTTACTTCCACCCCGCCGTCTCCTACGCTGACTGTTTTTTCTTACCGGAGGAGACGGTGCGGGAGAAATCGCCATGCGACGGTGTACGTGCGTAGGAGCTGTTATATTTAGCATAACGTCACTGGCCCCCTTGAGACCGCTGGAGATATCTAGTGCGCTACCCGTCGGGGGTGATGAGAACAACTCCTCCATACTCTTCTTCCCATTGGAAGTACGGTCTATTTCTGAGGCGTCCGACTCTAATGTTGGTAATGCAGCGGGTGGTAATGCAGTTTCTCGTCGAACCGAACGACAACGAGGAGTTATCGATGGATTCCGAAGACTCTTTCGAGGTAAAGCCAAGGCTTCTTCCCGAGGGGTTGGACTTTCCCCGTCTTCGGAAATGTTTGAGTTTCCGTCGTTGTTGTACAAAGTGGACTCGGATACGAGTGCGCCTGCAGCACCGAGTAAAAGCGGTGTTTTTTTCTTTTTCGGAAGTTTCAACTGAGCTTGTGCGTGAGAGTAAAACAACGTGAAATTACTGCCAATCACTGAGACAGGAAGTGCCACGATTAGAACTCCTACGCATGCGCAAACCGTACCAATAATCTTTCCAAGGAAAGACTTGGGATGAACATCACCGTAGCCCACTGTTGTCATGGTAATTACAGCCCACCAAAAGGCTTCTGGGATGCTGTAAAAATCCCTTTCTTGATGACTCTGTAATTACATAACACAAGGCAAACAAAATCACAACCTTAATAAAGAAGTTAATCATTTTGTCACGAGTGTAGGAGAAAAGAATGGCTTGCAGTTCCCCAGAGGGGAACTGCAAGCCAGTATGTAGCAAGTTATATACTAGGTTCATAGGTAACAGGTGCTGTCCTAAGTGCTGTAAGGGCCAGCAATTTTCAAAGCGCCATGATTAGATAATGATTATGGTAACAATGGCGTTGGCTAAGGGTTGTTTAAACAAGCCAGATCTACCTTTAAAAAACCTTATACAGAGTTCCACACAGATGTACTGCTCAGGAGCTTTAATCGTACCAAATACCAGTGCCCAGTTTCTCACCTTTTCTGCGTAGAAAACCAACGTGGAGAAAATAACCATAGGGATCAAGAGGATAAGAATCAGGAGAAACAGCTCCCTAGCGCTGGCCCTGAGTGTGTGCCCGATCACTTGCATACCACTCATGGTCCGGAAAAACCTGAATAACCTGAAAATCCTGATCAACCGGAGAACGAAAAGAAAGTTAAGGGTGCCTGACACACTTGTTTCTTCGTCACCAATTGCCAAATTAACGTAAAGTGGTATTACAGATGCAATGTCAACCCATGTCATGAACGTTTTGAAGAAAGTTACCAGAGAAGGGCATGTCAGCAGTCTCGCCAGTAAATCTGCTGAAAACCAAACGAGATAGAAGTATTCCATGCCTTCAAACAAGCCCTTGTAATTTTGTTTCAGCTTTTCTATAGATTCCATACAAAACGTTGCTACTGACAAGATGATCACGATCAAAGACACCATTGCAAAAATCTGGAAAGAGAAATGAAAGTCAGGTAATCGATAACTTTTCCAAATATGCAAAGTAGGACGCAGGAAGCCAATCAAATAGGTTTACTTTTAAGGGTTTTCTGTCGCTGTCACTGTCGTCATCGTCATTATCAGCATTGTCATCTTCATTGCTACTGTACTTGTTGATTTTGTTGCTGTTTTTGGTGCTGAATTGTCGTCGTCGTTGTTGTTGTTGTTTGAAACACACCACTGGAAGATGCTATTGATGTTAGTCAATCGTAAGTATGACAAAGGAGTATGTTATGCAGAATTTAATGTACAATTAATGATTAAATTTTTAACATATTGTTTAAAAACAAAAAAAAGAAAAAGAAAAAGAAAAAAAAAGTAGGTCAGTCAGGGTAAAAGATGTGAAGTCTGGACACGAATTAGGACGCTATTCAAACTGGGTTTGTCGTGGTTTCTGTCACATGAATTAAGGAGCATTGCTATCCCCCCCCCCCCCCCCTCAATGGGATGCCAGTCCATCGCTGGATGGCTAAAGATGAAGAGCATCAAAACGGATCGAAAATGACCAACTTCAAATATCAAGGCTGGACATTTAAAATGTGTTCGAAGCACAGTGGGTCTGCTTTGAGTTATTTTATCGAATAACGTGCTTCAGACCACAGCAATGCAATATTTTACAACAAATCAAATCTAAGAAAATAAAAAAAAAATTTGTAAAAACATGTTTCGACAGTTCTTCTGTCATACTCAGTTCTGATTTTACTAAGTACATAGTTGTATTTAAAGAGTATAACAAAATGCTGATTGAACAAAAAAAACAATACTGACAGAACAATATATGTAATTGCAAGGAAAGTTTTAAATTAACATGATAAAGTTGATAATTAAGAGTAGGTTGCTCCCATTGAATGTGGATAGTGTCTTTGATTTTAAGTTGGAAAGTTGTGAAAGCGTGTTGCAAGATGCTAAAACACTCATCAGAACATAGAGTGGGACATTGTGGAAAATTCTGTAAATGTCTGAAAATGTGAGAGGTCCTATCACTGACCAAGTGCTCACGCACACGTGTGGATAAATGCCGGGAGGTTTCTCCGACATCGCTGCTATGTTATTATTTACTGTTACTATTGTTTGTTTTTTCCAAGGAGCATTTTGTTTTACACTTTAAATTCAACTTTGTACTTTGTAAAATCAGAACTGAAGATGACAGAGGAACTGTTGAAACATGTTTTTAAAAAGTGTCGTTTAATTTCTCAAAATGCAAATGAGACTGAATAGATACTGTATTTGATTTTACCTTAAAGTCACTTTCTTCATAAAGTTTGAGCCGTAGTCACAACTAAAAAATTATGACCTTTTCAAAAAAAACGTATACAAACAGGTGTCCTTTATTTTAGATTAAAATTACTTGTCCTCTCTGTTTACTAAAATATGCAAGCTGGACTATAAACAATTTAGTGGAGGCCTACGGCACTCAACAATTGTGCAGAAAACTGGGTCTTTTCGATGGCGAATTTAAATTGGAATGGTCTTCACCAATGGCAATTTTTTCGATCAAAGGAATACCTTCAAGCGTATTCCTCTCTTCTCCCTTTTTTTCTCCACCAGAGTTACCGAGAAATTTGCATTTGCCTTTTTCCAGCCACATATTTCGTCGCCAAATGTAGCATACAGGCTCTCATAAGAAAAATCTCCTTGCTTCGTTCTGTTTAGCTTGAGAAAATATCCCTTTAGTCCGTCTGAATATAGAATTTTTATTTTTATTCAAGGAAAATACTCCTTTTTGGCCTTATGGTGGAGCAGGCATAAACTAAAATTAGTATCTGCGTCAGTATTATGCATTTCCAAGAAGAGGACTGTTTTTTTTTTCATGTCACCAATTTATTCCTTTCTCGACTGGTGATCATGAATTATTGACAATAATGGCACTCCCTGTTAAATTTTCTGCGATAATCGAGAGGAGATCGTAAGAAGGCTTGAATAACTAACAGTCTGGGGATAACGACCTTCGCAGTGGATTTCAATAAAACATGCCCTTTGAATTCAAAACAATTGAAATGACTGTAAATAGGGTTGAATAAATGTGGCGTGAAATTATCGACTCACCAGACAATCGAACATTTGATAGCAAAACAGTTACGAATTATGTGTGTTTTTCAAACGCGCCAACGTTGCAATTTTTTCCAACGTAAGTACTAACCCACTCATAAAATATCCTGCCCGTTATTTTACTTTTGTTTCGACGCCGGTTCCTTCGTTTCTTTGGGGCACTATTTCCAAAACCTGCTGACGATATTTACAAAGCTTACTTTCAACAGAAAAAACAATTGAACTTTGGTCCGACGGACATTTTTCATCCTTGAGATGTTTTTAAGGTTATATAAACTTTAAGCAACCCACCGTGCATCACGCATGATGCAATTTAATTGTAGGCTTAATGAAATGTCGGCTTAGGAAATAATAATTAAAATGATGAACCAAAATCGGCGCGAATTTATCGACTTACTACGAGACAATCAAACTCTCGTCAACATTCAGCCGATCATTATTTACCTTTGAAGAGTATTTAAGAGAATACACCCCAGCGTTATTATCGATTCCAGACTAGACAACCGTAAAGCTGTTGAATTCATGTATTCTACACACTTTGAAAAATAAAAAGATAAGAAATTTTAATTCTCTTCATCACTTTTATATGCCATGCCACCTTTTCGCCCCTTTCAATTTGTTAGTCAAATTTAGCTATTTACTCATACAATATTATGCTAAATTCCTACAGCAGGTACCCACGCACTGTCGGAGCAGTTTAAAACAGCTTGAAAAAGACAAAATACATTTACTATGGAACCTTTTCAACGATTTTATCAACAGGAGCTGTTCTACAGTATTTAAGTCAAGTTTTATCAATTTCAGAATGTTATATTAGCCTTGGAGGCGAGAATTATAATGTATTTTATGTTATCATGAACATACTGTCGGGACGTGTTTATTAACGAATCCAATACGCAAAATGTATTGTTTTTCATTTCGGTATAAGTCATATTGAGTTAAAATAAAGGATCTTTCTTAAAACAAGCTACCACGAGAAAAACATATCAAATTTAGCCGTTCGAAAAATGAGTCCCTTTTCTTCGTGAGGAAAAAAAATATTCTCTTAGCCTTCAAAGAACTAAATAATTTGAATTTTAGATTTATTGGAAAATGAATTTTGTATTTAATCGGTAAAGTACTTCAATGGGTTGTTAAGTCTAAATCGAAGAAAGTGTTATTTTGTCGCTTGAAATTTCAAATGTTTTATCGTTCAGTACTTTACAGGGATGTTTTTTCCCAGCCCTTCGTTAGAAAGCTTTGTTATGGTTTTTCGTTGTCGAATCAATAGAGTAAGTAAAGATTGCATTAAAACTTTTCGGTCACATATCGCCAAGTTTTAGTATCTGGTAGGAATAATTATTTTCACTGATTTGTGAGTTTAGTTCCATCCAACAAAAGACGCGGCAAAATTAGTTTCGCGCAACACAAAAAGTGCATAAAAAACGAAGGAGCAGCTCTTAAAATATTTATGAGTTAAAGAGACAATCTTGTAGAAGATCTAATAAGCTTGAAATAGACGGTGTTATTCCCATGGTCTTTAATGGGAGAATGCCTTGAGTTCTGTTGCTAGACAATCTTGTTCGCGTTCAAATTTTTAACAGCAAGCTGAGTTGTTGATATTTAGTTAAAAGGAAAAAAAAACGTGTTTGAAGCATTGGACAGAATCCATAGACGACATCGTAAATGAAGGCGAAATTTAAAACAAATATACAACAAAACAAACAGGATCTACGCGAGAAATTTTTTTTTTTTTGGTCAAGAAGTGGATAAAATCAGATACGCTCTTGATAGGATGATAGTTGCGTATAGACAAGTCCCTGTTTAAAACGTTTGTCAAAAAAATTGTGATGTTAGCAGAAGGCACATCGACCCAAATAGACAATTATTCCAATTGAAGTTTCAAAACACACAGCCTTTAGTCAAAATGTCAACTGGCTTACGGTAATTTGCATATGTACAACCTTTTCGCGGAAGCATGGTCGTCATACAATTGCAAAAGAGAAAAGAAAGTTTAAAATGACTTAAACCTTGCACACAAAATCACACAAATGCACTTAAAGTGTAGCAAAACAATCGTGCAAATACACATCACTTCCGCACTTCATATCGAGAGCTTTCTATTCGATCCATTGCATGTAAATTAGAAACGGACGTTTCTATCGCCAGGTAAAAACGGGAAAACTGGCGGGTAATTTTTTTCAGATACTCACAGGGCAAAATTGCTTTGATCAATATCGAAATTTTATGTTATGTTATAATTTGCATTTTTAAGCCAATAGGATATCCTCAAATCAAATCCGCTTACCTGCGCGTATTTCGAAGAGTATGGTTCTTCCAACATGGCCCAAATTTCGCTTTTCCACTTCATTCGCGATGAAACCTTCTTTCGAACTTTGAATGGACTGTTTTCGTTTTCGGATTCCTCGACACTTTTCTGCAAGCCTTCGAAGGCCTTAAGAGTGGCTTGTGCATCTCTATGTTGCGTGTAATTACTCCAACAACAAGGTTCCATCTGTAACTCATCGATACCCCAAAAAGCCAGCTCCTCTTCAAATAGCGGCCCGCAAACATCGATCGGGCTGTGCAGCTTGCCGGTCCTATAGTAATTGATAATACTGACGAATACCCCTGGATGTCGGTCAAAGAAATACTCGTTGTTCTCGGGGTCATACTCAGCTTGCTTTGAAGCATTTTCAGCTATCCAAGCCAGCCGCGAATCCGGTACAACTTTAAGTGTGCTTAAGTACGTCTCATGGCGATACCCTCCTACATTGATAATAACCCGATCCTTCGCTACGCCGCGCGCAGGCAGCGAGTCTTCGAAGTTGGATTCGGTTTTCGACCGAATTACCATCCCTTCTTGAAGAAGCATCGAAACTTTGTAGTGTTGTTGAGATAATCACTCGTTATGCCAAGATTTTCACGTACTAAAAAGCATTTTGCCAATCAAAATTTACGACAGGCGAAACGTGTGGCTTGGTTGAGGCAATTCAAAACACAGAGGTTTCATTCATTACACTTCCCTGGCCACCTGTTCATCGAAGTCTTCTTGTAATTTTAAATGCATTTGCATTTTATCCAAAACAGGTCTGGTTGATGCACCTTTTCGATGCTGTAAGAAATGGGCGTTTATCACGGTAGTGACCCCAAACGTCCCAACGATTAAATAACACCTCTGTATCGTGTTTGCCTGCACAGGAAACGTAACTCGATTGTGGTACGGGTTCTAGAGGCACTCTGGTTAATTTACGAACTCTCTGCGGTTTGTTTTACGTTGTAAATCAATATTTAAATACAATGAATAGCGCCATTAGCCAATCAAAAGACAACTATGAAACATATCCTAAAAGCTTTAAATTCATCATATGCGCCGTTGATTATTTCTAGCGTTGTGCTATCAATACTAAAGTCCAAAACATTCCGTTTAACCGGATGCAATAAGAAGTAGATGAAAAAATCAAAGTGATCGTTGTAAAAATTGAATAATCATTTCGCCGCTATCATTCCCTGACTGACAGTTTCGGGACTAAATTCCTAATTGGCGGAAATCTTTAGTTCTGGCGTGGATTTGACACCTAGGAACCTACTAGGGAGAGAATAATATTTCTTTGTTTTAGTATAAAGCTTCAGTTGTCGAAATTGCGGTTTCTTTTCGATACTCGCGAACAGATAAGAGCTTGTTGGCAACAATGAAATTCCAAAAAAAAATGGCAAATTTGTTGTGAGGGCGATTATTATTTTTATCTGAAATGAAACTAAATTTCCAGGTCAAACTCTATCGTAGATTATGATTTCCAAAGGAATTGGAGAAATTAGATACCAAGGTGACCCAAAAGGTGTTTTCAAAGAATTTTTTTTAGGTGAAATTCGAAACAAATTTAAGCATTTTCAAAGTGATTTTATTGTGGATATTTTTAATCATGAGCACATTAAAGACCACCCGTCTGTAGCCAAGATCGTTCATATTAAAATAATCGACTTTGCGGGGAAATTAAGATGTTTTTTTTAGTTGTGGAAAGGAGAGGAAACGCAAATCATTTTAGTTCACGTTGGAATCATTCGAAGACATACCTTCCTCTGCTAAGGAAAAAAGAAATCCTCTGAAATTCGCGGGTATAAACCTATGGCGATGAATTGTTAACAAATCTTTGGGGAGCCTGAAAGTTTCAATTGTTAAAAAAAAATTATACAAGCGGAGTGATAACTGTTAATTTAGTGAATGGACCCTCCATAGCAATGCAACGGTGGCGTAAAACCCCATAATAATAAACTTTAAATAAAGAACTTGCAAAGTTTTGTTCACGGTTCTTGCAATGAAACTCAGCCTGCTAAAAATGTTGAAATTACATATTTTCGGAAATTTTTTTTGATTCAAATGATGTTAAACATTTCGTCGGAGCTCAGCACTACAATCTATGTGATTTCTCTCCTTTCCAAACGCCATAAACAGTGGGCCATACATTTTCGCTTGCAAAATTTCTTCTTAAACTGGACTCAGTGAAACGCTTTTCGGAAAGATATAAAATTGTATGTAGTCTTAATTGGGGTTAGAGTAAATTGCCTAACTTGCTGCAGGCGTTAGGAGAGCAGTTTAGCATACATGTTTTGGCTGGAGAGCAAAAGAAATCAATTGAGGCCCGATTAAAAGCACATATGATAAAAATTTATGATTGAAAAGGCACACTTTGGCAGCAATAATAGAAGCGTATACAAGTTACAAGATCGTTTGCGCGTTTGTTATGAATTAGAGCCAGCGGGAGATAAAATTGCTGGATTTGCAAATTAAGGGAGCTCATTTATTGTACGGAACCAGCATATCATTAACTTGCCTTCGACGAATACGAATGCGACCGCAAGCGAAACCCACAAAACAACACGGCGCTCGAACGTCTGGCATGCGTAAGGGGTCAAGTTTGGTGGCCCGCCCGCCTCACAAAATTTCAAGGAATAACATTAATCTGAAAAACGACGGCAATTGTGTGTCAAATACTTTTTCTTATTTTGCTTTCGGCTTGGCATAATGCTTGCATTTCGATCCTTCTAGATACACTACCTCGCTCCCCTGTGTAATATTGATATCTGACGCTTCTTTTGCTTGGTTTTCTTTCAAAAACGAACTCGGGCTCATTTCCTGAATAGCGGCTGCATATTTAGCTTCGTGTCGGGGCGAGAGAAAGGGAAAGTATACTTAATAAACGCAGTTATAAATAAAATTTCAGCATTTCCTCTCTAATTTAAGTCACGACGTCTGGATTTTTGCAGGCGCGGTAAAAGTTTTGAAGGTTTCACTGCATGTTTCGAGTGTCAAAAAAGAACAAAAATTAGTGACTCTTAGTACTTTCAATATGTTTTGTTTTGTTTTTTTATTTTTTCTGTGGCTCTTGGAATTTCTCTGGAAGAGTGATCAATGGAGTCATTATTAAATACAATAGCTACTTTTAAAGCTAGAATTGTATCACATCAAAGTCCTAAGTCGAACGATATTTGGATACATTTTATGTATAAATCTATGAAAAACTTATTACATTTAAGTTCCATCGACACATTTTACCCTTTACGCCTTGACATCAGTGCGCATATTATTCATACTGTTCTCTATATGTCTCTTATAGTACTGGCAAGGATAATTTGTTTGACAGGCAGCAGCTCTTTTAGCGGGTGATCATTTCCTTTATTATCATGACCTTAATGTTGGATCCAGTAGTGATACTTTAAGGGGAAATTAGATACTAGTCAATCTTAGGGATTTAAGAATTAAATGGCTGAGTATATAAATACAAATTAAAGCTTATTCTATGTGATGCTCAGGATTATATTTTACGAATTTATAAATTCAAATTAAAAAGCTCTGTTTCCAGCATCAAAAAAAAAAGGATTTTTGAAAGAAGTCATTCGTCAGACATTATTTCCTTTCAGAAAGGAATCAATGTAGTCGTTGTTAATTTCTTTAAGGCAACTCTTCGCCAAAAAGGGAACAGTTGATTTCAAGTAATATTATTAACCATCCATATAATTAACTGCGTTCCCTGTGACTGTTCTTGAAGTATATGAACAAGAAATTATAAACCAGTTTATAATCTTTTGGAAATAAGGGATGTGCAAAGTTATATTAGACCTTCTGGATTCTGCTGAAGTAACGTTCAATTTGTTGAGCAGTGTCTGTTTCACAACTATAGACAAGTACAAACTAACGACTGCCAACTATATTCAATTCTGTATAATTTACAGTAGGAAAATACTCTGTCGATTGCTTGCATACATTAGGCATTAAAACCAATTATTACAAAATTTACAAAATGTAACTATAATAAATCTAATTTTCTCAATCGCTAGTTTTTCTTTTTCAAAGATGATAGCTCAAATTAATCACTAACCAATCACAGTCCGTAATTTTGATACTTACAGTGTGTAGAAGTACCCAGACCTTCGCCGTTAATAGTTTCATTTAGTGCAAGTGAAGTCATACGCTTGCTTTCGTTTCCAGTCCCTTTTTTGTGATTTAACCTTAACCCACTGGAACAAACACGGACTCAAGCAGATGTTGGCTTAAACATGTCCCTCAAAGGATTGGTACTATTGTATCACCTGATAACATTTTAAACTTTCCAACTCAACCCTGATAGATTAATCCACGAGAATTAGTTGAAAACATCGTGTCCATTTTCTCGAGTCTGACTAAAGCCTTGTAAATTACTGTTAGCCAAACAACTTCCTCTCGCGTTGTCAGTGATGCTTTCACGTAACCTTTAGATTGGCAACTCTTCCCTAACGATCTTGAATATGTCCATTTAAATAGTGGTTAAGTCAAACTAGGCTTCTTCTGAAAATACCGTTATCCTCTTCAGTAAGTGTGGTTGGATTGGTTGATACAAGCCTTATATTTTTCTTTTTATGAAATTTTTTCCTTATAGATTACACAAGCCTATTGTTTAGTTTAACATCCCAACAATTTTGAAAACGTGCGTAGAGACTAGCAAGCCAAGGCATGTTATTTGCCTCAGCTAAAAATTTCATCCAATTCTCTAACTTGAAGGTCTGATCCTTTTCGATAATTAGTTTTTTACTGCATTGAAGAGACTGGTTCTTTTTCATAGCGGCGCAGCGTGTAACACTGGATACACAACGACAAATTTATTTTAAGGATACCTGAATTCCGAAAAAAACACAGCAAATTTCAAAGCGGATGTCTTTTTGTCTAGTCTGTGCGAAATTCAGTTTACTCAGATAGTGAAACATTTACTTATGTTTTGCACTGCTCATAAACATTTATACACTTGATTAAGCCGATGCTTCATTCTAAGAAAATATTTGGTCATTATCAAAGAATTGCCCGAAAACAGGGCACTATTTCCTATCTCATACATCTACGTGCAATAGAGTATTCCAAGAGCCATGTCATGAATATGAAATTTTGTGTCGGTTACGCACGAATAAAAAAGGATGAATATACAGTTAAGGGGTGAAGATAGTCTAGGATTGAACGCGATTGTAAATGTCGAAAGTGAAAAACTTAGGTGAAAGTTTTGTGATGTACCAACCTTGACGCAACTACTCTGTGAGTGCAAGTTTATCTCGCGGAGTCTGTTTGTCCATGGCTCTATACATTCCTTTTATATCGAACGAATTTTTTTGTTTGTTTCGAACGTTTTTATAGAGTCCACATTTCATTACCCAGTAACGTGGTTTCTACTTTCAAGAAATGAAGCTAAGTGGTAGCTCACTGGATTCGTCGTGGTTACTTGTCGACATGGCAACTTGAACTGCCTCACAGATCACGTGGTCCTTGTGTTTCTGGAACTTTTACAGGATGGGCACTGATTTCCGATTCTCGAGGAAAATGTCATGGGTGTGTACAAACGAGATTATGGAAAGGACAAAAACATCATCCTTTATTCAGGACTTATTGAATCAGTGGAGTCGCAAACCATCAATCAGCTTTACATTTTTGCACGCCCCGATTACTCAAACTTCTCAGAGATCTCCTTTCAAGGTTTTGTGCTAAGTTTGGTGGAAACCAAGAAGACAAATCAACTTTTCGTAAAAGCTGAGATGAGATGAGTTTTCAGTTCGTCATGCTTTACTCCGAGAGAGGTTTTGAACACAATTGACCTTTGAATTAGCTAGAGTCAACCTTGTCGACTGCAACTGCATCATTTTGGCTGTTATGGTTCTATCCAGAACATCTCTGGTCCGCATG